TTTATTTGTATTACAAATTTTTCATATACTGTAAATCATTGACTGTGGAACATTGCGTTTTCATGCGACCCAGGTACTTTGTCTGACTATTAGTTTCATGTTAATTTGTATACAGGGTGTCCCAGAAAGGTCGTATGTCCTTTCATTGGCAGATTCTAGAGAGCATACGAAAATGTCGATTATACGAAAATGTCGAGGCTATAATACTTTTTAAATTATAACCGATTAAAGTTATCCTATTACGGCGTCTGAAATTCGCGCGCTCAGGCATGGTACATTGCGCGCGCGATTGCGGGGTGCTCTTGTCCATTGATTCACATTTAAATATTAACATAATTGATGCGCTTATCGCAAAAATATCTAATTATCGAAATTGAGTTTCTTATTTGAAAACATTAATGATTTTATAAGTTAATAACGTTTTAAGTTTAAAAATCGAATTTTGACAGTTAAGTTACTTTTGCTTTAGGCGTCTCAATTTTTCATACAATGACAAAGACATCGCTTTTAAGCTTTGTCTCGTTTATTTATGATTATTTTTAATATCAGTATATAATATTATAAAATATCAATGAATAAAATTAAAGTAAGATAAGAGCAATAGTATTAATTTTAAAAATAATAAAATTTAAGGAAAAGTAAGATAAAAGAAATGATATTAATTTGAAAAATAATGAGATTTACAGGAACTGTTCAAAGTGACCACCATCGCACTCAATATACAATTGGGCGCGTCGAAGAAGATTTGTTGTAGCACTAATAATCATATGCAATGACTTCTATTATTTTGTCTTCTAATTCTTCGAGATCATCAATCGGTTCCTGGTAAACATATTGTTTTAAGTGACCCCATAAAAAATAGTCCATAGGATTTAGATCCGGTGATCGAGCAGGCCAATTTCTAGGACCACCGTGTCCATTTATGCAAAAATCTATCGTTTAGCGTCTGCTGAGCAATACGTGAATTATGCGGTGGCGCTCCGTCTTGCATAAACGTTATATTTTGCCGTATAATTAATGGCACATTTTCTAATAACTCCGGTAAATCATGGATTAAAAAATTATTATACATAATGCCATTCAGTTTTGCAGGCATTTCAAAAGGTCCAATCTGAGATCGGAAGAGCACACGTC